TCTTTTGTGTGGAACATACATGTGCCTTGTAATCACATGTCAGGAATATGCATTTCCTTCTACAGTCGAGCCTCACACGATAGATGGTGTGAAATCTTTTTGTTTTTTTTGGTGGTATGCCTGCTGTGTGCTGAGGAAGAAGGAAACACAGGAGGGTTTTGTGGGGTGGAGGGACATGACCAGCTCATCATTTAACCATGAGTCAAGCTGTATGTTTCAGAGAGCAGAGATTTTTAAATGGATGAAAATGCTTGTCTAGACTGCACAGTTAAATACAGTAGCTACAGTAATGGCAAAAACACATTACTCTTTGTGCGTGAATGAACACTCCGTTTACCCAAACAAGTTAGCTGCTGTTTTATCCCAAAAGGCTGAGTCTGTTCATCTGGACGTAGCAATTTCAGTGGGAGAAACGTTTTGTCACTCATCCAAGTGATTTCTTCAGTCTCAGCTGACTGCAGGATTCCCCAACCATATAAACAGTACATTTGCACAATGACTGAAACCAACCCACTGAATGAACAGTTGGGCTGTGAGGTCAAACAGCTACGTCCAGATGAACAGAATCAACCTTTTGGGATTAACTTACCTGGATGATTGAGCATGCATCAAGACAGCTGTTGTTTCAGTGTCATGCTGTTGTTAATGGTGGCTTTAAGATGGGCTCAGGTTTCATGGAGAGTCATAATTTAAAGACTGGGACTAACTTCAAAATTTCTTTTTTGCAACTCTTTTGTTTTCTGGATTCAGAGTAAATCTGAAAACAAGGAAATTAGTTTGACTGTGTGTGTGTGTGTGTGTGTGTGTGTGTTTTTTTTTTACCCTAGTGATGATGTTTATCTGTACTGTCATTTCTACATTTGCATTATAGTGATGAGCAACCCAGAACTGCCTCTGGATCCCAACCTGCAGACCAGCAACCTTCTCATCACCTTCCTCAAGTATGCTTCCATTGTAATGCAGGATACAAAAGGTAACAAAAAGATTTAAATCCTCTTTCTCTTGGTCTCTGCTACTCTACCTTCTTATAATCATTCATTCTGGTAATTTTAATTTCATCTTTGTCCTAAAGTGCCCCCCCAAATTATTAAACTGTTATAGCTGTCATCATGTTGCGGGTTGTTTATGTTTAGTCCTTTTATCTGTTATTGTTTTCAAAGATGAGCACCGACTCAACAGCGCCAGACTGTGCCTGATTATTCTCACCTGCATAGCCGAGGTATGAGAACCTACCGTCCTGCAACAAATGCCACCGACCACATTCTCCATCAACCTGACCATCTTTGTTTTTAATCCTTCCCTGTACGATAGGACCAGTATGCTGATGCCTTTCTTCATGATGACAATATGAACTTCAGAGTCAGTCTCCATCGAATGGTGAGTTCATGGCCGTGTGAGTGACACTCAGTGAGGATAGAAGTAATTACAAGGTGCGATCCGAAAGTCCAGCCTGTTTCTGTTATGCGTGATTAGCGTACATCATGGTCATTTCCATGAACAGGTGTGAGAAGTAACTTTCCTGAGTCAGGATTTTGTGTGACAGTGCACGGTCAACACTGGGATCTGCGTTAGACAGGTGTGGACATTTGTCATTTGTATGGTCTCTGTGAATAGCCCAGTGTTAATGTAATAAACCTGCACTGTCAGTGGAAGATGTTTCACTCTAAGGGGACACATCAGGTCAGGATGGTGACCCAGGCCGTGATCATCACTCTTTTGATTGTTCCCGGGGGTTGAAAACTGAATTCATTCCCTAGGATCAGACTTTTTACTGCATGTTCTATTATAACATCTTGAAGCACAGATGAATCTAAATGTTACACAGTGGCACAGTGAATTGTACGCTTTAAAAATGTGCGCTGGTTCGTTTCCCCCTACTAAGATATTTTTAACTCCCTACTTGTCTTCCCTCGCCTGATATTACTCCATCTGATTGCTTCCTCTTGTGCATCAAAGATAGTTAGATTAGAAAGATAGGAGCATTTCAAGTGTGGACACTGGGTGTGGTATATGGTGTCTGCAGTTGGTTGGAGGTATCAACTGTTTTAGTTTTGTCAACTGAAACATATAATCAGCTCTTGAGTGAATCTCGTTCTGTAGCTAAACTCAGACTCCATCATTTTTGACTTCAGCTGGCGGCTGTAGACCTTGTTCTTCTCTGCAGCCTCTGTGAGCTCAGAATAGCGGTGCATGGAAAAATTGCCCACTGCTACAGATTCTGGTTAGTGTGGCCCTCTTGCTCACTGATCTCCAGACCAGAAGGAGGACTGCTGACAGTTCAAAACAGTAGAATTGGAGTACCTCCCACAAATCCTCTTTGTGAAAACAGCTAAATGAAATTGAAATATAACACAAAAGCAACCTGGCCAGTGAGATATCTGGAAAAACATGAGATAGGCAGTGACTGAACTCCGACACTAAGATGGAAGGAATAGAATTGCAAATAAAGTTACTCTCTTAAAAGTTGTACTTTGAAGGATTACATACTCGTGCAGATGCTGTCAGTTTCTGACTGTGACTGTTATTTAGTGTCTGCTGATTATCTGTTCTGTGTCACTTAACAATAAATAACATACAGCTGTAAAAACTGTTTCCAAAACTGCAAAGTAGGCTTGTCTTGTACAGTTATAATTATTAAAATTACAGAGTATCTGTGCATATTAACATATTTTTCTATTTCTATATTTTTCAGCCTATGAGGCACAGGAAAAAAGCAGTGGACAAGAACATCCCGTCACGGCCGCTGGTGTGTGCTGTTCTAGGTAAGAAGAGTGTTTTAACACTTGTTTACTATGGATTCAAATCAGCAATGATATCTGTTAGCTGTAAGGCCTAACTTCTGAGTTTTTGCATCAATTAAACCTCATTATTATGCAATCAAAGGTCATGCATTTTAACAGTTATCTTTTGTGCAGATCTGATGGTGGAGTTTATTGTTACTCACATGATGAAGGATTTCCCCATGGATTTATACCTGTGAGAACACATTAAATTACACATATATCATTATGACTCATCCATCATCAAATCGATTCAATCAGAGTTTCTTGTCTTATTTCCTGTGCAGGCGCTGTGTGCAGATCATCCACAAACTCCTTTGTTACCAAAAGAAATGTAGAATCAGATTACACTACACCTGGAGAGAGCTTTGGTCAGGTAATGATACCTCATCTTCTCGCTTATGTACTGTTTGTCAGAAAAAAAGCCCCATTCAGATAGGATTTATTTCTCAGGGTGAAATAAGGTGAATTTAATGAAATGCCTGCTGTTTTTTTTATATATCACAGGTTATCTCATAATTTAAATCCCAGTGTCCTTGTATTTTAGAGTCAATCTCAGCTTTTCCATTTTCATCCCAGTTTTTGTGAATTAGTGAGCTGATAATACCATTTAGCTCAAAGCACAGTCCCTCAGAGCTCTGAAGAACAATTTCCAATTTATGACCTTAGTAGTACGTTTTAGATAGTAGATAAGTACACCCTTACTGCTTTTAGAGTTAAGAAGGTAAGTAGCACCCAGGTGCTGCTAATCAAATGCACTTGATTGTTGATCATTTGCAAGCATGACCACCTCTATAACAGCAGAAGTTTGAGTTATTTGCTTGTATGACGCATTCAGGTGTGTTAACACAATACCGCAGTCTTTCCAAGAATGAACGTTCAAGTAGATTTAACCCAAGATCATCTGAGACTCTACACGCCTCAGGTAGCATGTTAATGTTCATGACAGTGCAGCTGGAAAAAACTGTGCAAATATGGATTATTCAGAGGGATTGCCAGGAGAAATGGTGACGTGGCGTCTGTTGGATCTGAACAAAGATTTTAAGACTTCTGGAACAATGATCTTTGAAGAGAACAGATTAAAGTGGGGATGTTTGGTCGTAATTCGCAACACCACAGCATGTCAGCACAAACCAACTGTCAGCATGGTGGTGGAGGGATGATGATATTGGCTTGTTTTGCAGGGACAGCACCTGGGCACCTTGCGGTTGTTGAGTAACCATAAACTCCTTTGTATAAAACAGTATTCATACTCTAGAGTCAAATGTAGGGACTTCTGCCCAACAGTTAAACATTTTGGTTCATGAAACGGGACAATGATCTCAAGCAAGGAGCAAATCTAAAACAGAATGGCTTAAAAAAGAAAAGAGTCAAGGCAGTGCAGTTGCAGTGACTCATTCAAAGTCCAGACTTCAACACAACTGAAATACTGTGTTGGGAGCTTAAGAGAACTGTGCATAAACAAATGCCCACAAACCTCACTGAACCAAACCAAGTTTGCAAAGAAGAGTGGGCCAAAATTGCTCCACAGTGATTTGAGAGATGGATAAAGTCAAACTGAAAATGAATTTGAAGTTAAATTTGAAGTTATTGCAGCTTAAGGTGGGTTTACAAGCTATTGAATTATTGGGTGTATTTACTTAGAGTCCTGTGAAAAGTTCTTTTTCACATGACTGTTGATGTATATACCAGAAAATAAGTAAATGCTCAACAGGTTACTTTTAACCTAGGTTTAAATGACCTGAGAGACAACATATGACTAATTTAAAATGTTTGATTTGCTAAATATATATCACCTCACGAGCTGAGCAAATAGTTCCTGCTTTTGCAAAACAAACACAATTTTCTTCTAAAGTGTTGTTTTGTAAATGTACTGCATCACTGAAACCAGATAATGAGTCTCTAAAGAAAGCACAATCCATCCTCGTGGCCTTGTTTTCAGCCTGGTCAACAAACAATAGGATAACATTTCAGCTTGTAATGGCCTCATCGCGCTGTGTCTCATTAGAATACAGATTCCTCTAATCAGACCAATAATCAGCTTAATTCCCTGAATAACCCCGACTCTCTTTTCCTGGTGGAGATAATAGCGTACCATGAAATGACACTGGAGAGAAAAATGAATTCGATTGTTTGTCTTCTTTTAGCATGTTGCTGTGCCAACTCGTGTTGGAGCTTTTTTTGTGCGTGCACATTTCGGTTCTTCTCGTGGGATTGTTTGCCTCAATAAAAGCTTGTGAAGAGGCTAGATTTGGTGTTGAAAGACCCCCCCTCCTGTGATTCCATTATCTACCTTAATAAAGCTGCACACTAAGGAAAGCAGTCTGCTGCCATATGCCTCTGCTGCTAGACGATTAGCAACACTCCTCTGTATTTCATTAATGCAAGCATGTCTCCCTCTGCATTAGCTCTCATCAACCTGCTGAAGTTCCTGCTGTCAAATGAGACCACACTGCTGGCCAAGCACAACATCTTTCATCTGGCCTTGCTGGTGAGAATCATACACTGTTAAAAAAAAAAACACATGGAGGCACAGGACCAGACCACAAACCACAGTGAGGATTGGTTTAATAGAGATGCTGTATGTGTAAGACAGATTCTAGTAGTGGCGCTTCAACCACGAATCTAAACAAATTTTATGTTTGTCCAAGGAGATTAAAAGCACCAAACGGATGTGGTGTAAATGTAATTTCCCTTTATAAATCCTCTTTTTGGTTTATTTTTCTCTTGTTGGGTACTTTCTATAAATGTAATGCTCAGCTAATCCTAGTGTGTGTCTCTTTATCCAGGTAGTAAACCTGTTCAACATGTTCATAACTTACGGCGATACATTCCTGCCCACCTCCAACAGCTACGACGAGCTGTACTACGAAATCGTACGAATGCATCAGGTCTTCGACAACCTCTACTGCATGGGTACGTAACCTCATGCTTGAGTTTTTAATTTATTTCTTTTAAAGCATTCCTGAACTATTTAATACGCACAGCCACCTTTATACAGCCTTAATCCTAAAAAGGATTTTTGTGTATTTCTGTCATTCTGCTTTCCAGTTTTGAGAGTTTCAACTAACACAGGCCAGTGGAAGGAGGCAGCCAGTAAAGTCACACATGCCCTTGTCAATGTTCGGTAATCACACAGCCACACACCCGCACTCACACTCTTTACTCTGATTTCTGTATCCTAAGAAGGAGAAATGAGTCATACTGGATTGAAGGGAGCTGAAAGTGAGCGAAGTCTTCAGAGCCGTAATTTGGGTTCTCTACCATCTGACTTTTTTTAGTCCCCTAGGCCCCTCTATTTTATACATTTTTAAGCTTTTATCTCCTTCACCCCAACCTCACACAGATATTGTACTTGGTCTCTTCCTCAAATCTTTTCTCTGTAATCTCCCTTTCCTCCTCCATCTTCTCTGGGGAGATGATCCTCTGAGGTCACCCTGGCTCGAAGGCCCCAGAGGGCAGCCGTATGAACAGGATAGTCCTAGAGGATTTAGCAAATGCAGTGGGCTCCTGATAGAACAGCATCCCTGTGTAAAAAGGCAGTCAGAAGAGCTGAAGTGAAGGCTGGGAGTATAACAGGAGTAAATGTTGAAAGAATGGATGAATAAATACACGAAGACAGAATTCTAAAGATTCACAGAAGATGGTCTTATAATGAACTTAAATGAAAGGACCAAACCCATTTTACTCAGTTTGTTTTTTCCACTATAGGCTGGCTTCCCATACATAAATGGCAGCAGAATTACCACTGCCGAGAATCCTCTGCATGTTTGTCACTATAATCTGTTTGATATATGACGCAGCCAAAGCCAGTACAAAATAAGCCATTCAATCTCTCAGCTGTGCTTAGTGCATCAACTCATACTTGAGCTTTAAAGCAGTTTATTTCTCGGAAATAAATGCTAATGATGGAGAAGATTGCCTCTGAATTTAGATTTGATTCCCTGGTGTATCCAAACAATATAAAGGAGACAGTGACATGTATCAGAAGTGACTTTTCTGTTAACAGACACGTTTTGTCAAAAAATACAAATTTCAGATATTTAAACCTTTAATATAATTTAATTATCAATTATTATTTGAACCTAAATAAGATGTTGTTCCACATATCATAGCCAAATGTATTTGGACATCCTTGCTTTCAGCAGATTTCAGACAACTGGTCAAGGATATCAGGTTTGATCCTTGTAGCCTATATGCCGATTATATCTATTGAACTGGGGCCAAGAGGCACAGCTGTTCTTCCTCTGCTATGTATTTCCATTCTGAGCTGCCCTTGATAAAATCTGGAGGATGCATCACACAAACATGCTTTTCTTGACATAACTCAGATAGACTGTGGCAGGAGCTACCTCTTAAATCATCCAAAACATTTTGTTTTCTCCCATCTTTGAACCTCTTTTGCATTGGTCGTTTTTAATCTGGGACAACATCGGACGGTGTGCAGTGTGGCCAGTGTCATAGTACATTTAGACTGGCACTGTTTCTTTGTTTTGGGTCACGACTCTCAGTTTAAACTTTTTGTACTATTAGTTTAGAAAGATTCTTCCACATTAAACCATCTAATTTATTTTTCCCCATGTCCCAGACAGTGGAACAAGTGTGGAATATTTGTTTGATTGTAGCTCATAATTGCTGCCTGCTGTGCTAGTCCTGCCTCTTTAGTCCTTCAGCTCTGGATCTCCACCTGGCACTCAAGCTCACAGCTGCTGCAGCAGGTGGAGAACTGGTTTATGTGGCGCTACACAGAACTCGCCAAGACTTCAGACAAGGGCTAAGATCAGCAGCTGCAGTGCATGATGAAGAAGTTGGAGTTAATCTGCAGGATAAGAAACTTGCTATAGAGCAGCTCAGTTATGTACTGTAACAAAGTATTAGGTGGATAAAACAGTTAGAGACAGAAGTTGAATTATTAAGTCATTCAACAAACATACACATACATGCGCATGGATATCCCCTTTATCTCCCATTTCTTATTTAAAAAGTTTTTTGCGTTTTTCTTCCAGGGCCATAATCAACCACTTCAACCCCAAGATTGAGTCATACGCTGCAGTGAACCACATCTCTCAGCTGTCAGAAGATCAGGTAAACACTTTGCCTGACTAAAAGTTGCATGTGAATAAAAATGAACTTCCATATCGTCTCGGGGCCATTTGGGCTGAACTCCAGTGACATGTCACTCTTGTTCTTTCAGAAGAAAATCTTCTGAATTTCTCAGTAAACAATGAACAAGGCTGAAGTGTTTGAGGAAAAGCTCACTGAGTTTTGTTTTGGGGGGAAAAAGCCTATTCATCAAGACGTAGTTACAGCAGTGTGGCAGAAATGAATGACTCAAACATTGGTTATGGTGATGAGACGCACAGAAAAGCAGTTGTTATCACACACATCGCTGAGCTTCAGACTCACCATGGCAGATTCAGGGAAACATTACACTGAAAGGCAGGCTTGAGTTATTCTCATTTGAGATTTTATTGTACATCAAATACAGCAAATGTTGCCATTTCTCTGGTGTCTGCAGCTGCTCTTGTAGAAATAATGACAATTTTTCCACATAGTTTGCAAACACAAACAGAGTGTGGATCGAGTCATTAAGCAGAAGCGCTGGGCGACTTTTGAAACAGTAATTTTTGGAAATACGTGAGCCGGGACTGGAAGGAGGCTGAACTGATATGAGCTCTATAAGCTCCATTTAAGACTCGTGTGAAGTCTTTCGCGTTGGAAAACAGCAGGAAAAAAACTTTGTTGATAAGAAGTGATGGATTTGGTCATTATTCTCTCCAATTACCTCTCTGCTTTTATCTACTAGATTTATTCACAACAAAGAGGAAAGCCAGAAGGTAACTCAGGTGTCAATGAGCTGCGGCTGGTTTTATGTTATTTTTCACCTTTGGTATTAACAGCCTTTTCGTTAGATGCAAGGGTTGAACAGCAAAGATTGGGTTGAAGCTGCGGTTGCCTAGGGCTGTTCGATATAACGAGATAATGATATAAAAACTATCGTTTCATTTTACGCTATCGTTTGCTTCATGGTGTCGCAAAATAAACTGTTTACGGTAATATTTTTTCATCGTTTTGATGGTCACTGAAGTGGCTATATTAATTTCTTAAAGTTCTCTATTTCTCTTATATTTAATATAACCACACTACAGACGGACAAGCACCTGTTTTTATGCGTTGTCGTTAGCAACAACAACGGTAACACCATCGCGTGTCCGCTTGTTTATGTTCCACATAAACCTTTCACAATAAAGCTCAAGATCCTGTTGAGACTTTTCAAAATAAACTGAATCACGTGAAAGAGCAGATTATTTACGGATTAGAAGTAAAAAGGAGCCATCAGGTGCTAAAAAAATAAACCTTAGACTCAAACGTTAGAACAGGCTTTTCCCCGCAGCACGCCGTGTAATAAATACTCACAAAGAAAACGGCGGCCGTTACAACTTATGTCTAAAAATGTATCGTTTCATGCATCAGTTAAAACACTCGACTCCAGCTACATGACGCGCAGCTGGAAACACTTCCCGCAAGTCGAGCTGCCCGAGATTCACAGAATTTACAGAAAATGTTACATTTTTGTGATTTATATCGTTATCGGACGATAGATTCTTATATCGGGATATGAGATTTTGGTCATATCGCACAGCCCTACGGTTGCCTTTCTTAAAGTCCATAAAATAGGCATTGGGAATCGCATCTGTAACCGGAAGGTCGCCGGTTCGATCCCTGGGCTCTCTGTCCTGGTCGTTGTGTCCTTGGGCAAGACACTTTACCCTACTTGCCTACTGGTGTTGGCCAGAGGGGCCGATGGCGCGATATGGCAGCCTCGCTTCTGTCAGTCTGCCCCAGGGCAGCTGTGGCTACAACTGTAGCTTGCCTCCACCAGTGTGTGAATGTGAGAGTGAATGAATAGTGGTATTGTAAAGCGCTTTGGGTGCCTTGAAAAGCGCTATATAAATCCAATCCATTATTATTATTATTATTTCAGATCAGTGATTCTCAGCTGACCGTGGGTGTGGATGTGATCGTGTTTGGTTGTCTGTCTGTATTTGTTAGCTCTGTAGTGGACTGTCGACCTGAAAAGTCAGTTGATTGTTTTTAAGAGCTGACAGTTTCCAGCTGTCCACTATGGTTAAATTGATAGAGGAAAGCTGGAAATGTTTAAAAATGATTTTCTTTAGAGTAACGCTGGAAAAAACCTCTTTTACTTGTCTTCTCCTAATTTTAGGCTTTAACTGCTTTTGTACACATGTGGCTGGCTTGGCTTAAGCACAACACATCACGTCTCAGCTGTCCAAAACACGTTTCTGCGTTGTAAGTGAATGAACTGCAGAGCAGTGTGAACACATGAACACGCGCTGACAGTGAGAGGCTGAAGATGCCAAGACCTGTCCAAACCTTCTGACTCAGCTTTGTCATAACGACATTGTGCAGACCTCTGCAGGATACTGTTTAAAACATTATAAAAGGCCATTAATATAATTTTATGTGTTTTTATGTTTTAAGATTAATGCCCATTGTGCTTTCTCTGCACAAAGTAATTACAAGTTGTAACTCAAATCTGGAGGAAAGAACATGGTCACTATTGGGATTAATATTTCGGTTAGTGTGTTTATGCCGGCTGAATAATTACTCTGGTTGTAAATTACAAGATCAGCCACAGCCAGGGCAGCATTTCAGTAGCTGTATGCAGCCGGTGACTCACATATATGCAGCAGAACAGAGATAAAGAAAGCAGGAACACATGACATCTATAGAGTCAGCTCTTTTCTTTTCTCTTGTCTGCTTCTGTCCCTTGCTCTTTGTTTTTCAGTGAACTGAAAGAAACTTTTTGAATTTTGATCCCTCAGTCTTTTGGCATACTGTCCTAAACACACATACACACACACCAACACACACAAACCCCCTGCTCTCCAGCCCTCTGGAGCGACTTCACTCTCTACAGTGACACCAGAAGACGGATGGCCTCCAGAGACACGCAGCATTGAAACAAGCTGCTGTACGCTCTGTTCCTCACACAAAGTACGAAACTGGACTACAATACTAGAGTTAAAACACATTAAAAACCTGCTTTTTAGTCCATGCATCAAGATAAAGACAGTGACAACTGCGTGCACACAATCGTATCTGCTTAGACACTGAAACAGTTGCACAAGCAACAACCCCTTCTAACAACCTCATACACTTTCCTTTAATTCCCCCTTTTTCCTTTACTTTATATCAACATTTTTGCTTCTGAACAGTTTGTTATATCGTTCGGTCTTTTTCTTCTTTACTTTTTCTTTTTGCATTAGTTTGGTTGACTATTCAAACCTACCACCGCTTTTTCATACAGAGAGGAGGGAGATGGAGAGGGAGGGAGCGAGAGAGAGATATGGGTATGAATTTTTCATCAGTGTACCACCAGAGGTTGAAGTAAAAACAACAGCACTTTTTATTCACAAGCAGAGTCGTAGATTTATTAGAGAACGCTCTTCAGGTCTCAGCCTTTAATAAGTCTAAAAATGTTGATTCAGCTGGATAGTAAATAAGCTGCCATGGCTAAAAGAGAATTATGTTATGCACAAATGAAATAAGACCTAAATGTAAGTTAACATATGGGTGTTTAATGTATGAGTGTTCATGTTTGTGGAGCCTTTCTGAGAAGCATGACAAAGTGCAGCTCATGTTCTTTGCTGTGAATTTTTCATGCCATGTGGAGTCTTTCTGGAGCATTAATAAAAAAAATGAAAAAGGTCTGCTTAGTGGCTATTTCACAGCTGAAAGGTGTGGAGAATCTCTGTATAATTACCTCTGATTTTAGCCAGCCTTCTTATCTCAGCTGGACATTAGCTGAGGCAACTCTTTCCTCTGCATACGTAACCACAGTTTATACACACTACTGACGATTCTGCATTATTCGTAGCCTGAAACTTTCATTGTGAAAATGCTTTTAATCCGTGAGTCTTAACCGTCCACTCAACAACAAAGTAATTAAGCAGCTGCAGTTGAATAAGCCTGTTAGAGTCCCAACTGAAGGCGCGGACAGCACTGAGAAAGTGGGACAGAAGAAATAAAACTTAAATTAAGTGAAATCCGTCAATAAAACCTCATTTTTCTAAATGACACGTGAAACGGTTCATTACAGTGAGGCACATTATCGCTGGAAAAAGTCGGAGAGGAACCAAATGTTACGTTGCAACTCTGAAACACTACTTGATCCCTCATAAATATAAGTGTGGGAATAAAGTATTTAACACTAATTAATTTTTGACTGCTCTGTAACCATTCCCAGTGTTCGCTGTACAATGCAAAAACCAGTTGAGAGAATCACATGAGACTTAATTTCATTTTGTGTTTGTCTGATCTTTTTGTAAGGTGTTGGAGGTGGTACGGTCCAACTATGACACACTGACCCTCAAACTGCAGGATGGCCTGGACCAGTTTGAGAGATACTCTGAGCAGCCCAAAGAGGCTGCTTTCTTCAAGGAGCTGGTAAGAGAGAGGGAGGGTGGTTTGTTTTGAGTGTTCAGGGTTTTATACACTCCATTTGAACTCTTTCTCAAGTGCATCCAGTCTAATGTTTGACTCAAGCAGCGTTTCACTCAGAATGATCAAAAATCTGTCTCTCAGGAGTGTTAGAAACATTTTCTCAGATTTTACTGTGTTTTTTTTAAGGAAGACCATTACTTGCCAGCTTGTTTCATTATAAAATTAATGGAGAAAGTACAAGACACGAGGCAGAAGTAGCAGAAAAGGTGCACATTGACACAACAGCTAGAAGGTAGAGGGTGATTGCTCAGCACGCTATTAGTGAGGTTTTCATTTCTGTTTTTTAGACAAGAGGCAATTATAAAGTTTCAGGACTCCCATCAAAAAAATTAAGCATCTTGCCTGATGTAAACAGGGCCAATCTCCTCTTCAAGGTATCTTCTTGCGTACCTTTTGACCACTTCCAGTACAGTTATTATATTGCTCTGTGAATGCCTCATTCTGTGCTCTTGCGAGCCTCTGCGACACACACACTGGATCTAATTTCATTTTGGGGAAATAACAAAAGGAGGCAAAGCGGTCTGCGTGCGCTGAATGTCGTCCCTCAGATTCCTCAGGATGTTGCAGTATAATTTAACATTGTTAGTGCTACCTTGCTGATCAGATTCACGGTGCACAGCTTGTGCATGCTAAAGGGAAAACAAACATACTACAGCTCCTGCTTCACCTCGCCCAGTGCACCGCTTCTGGGATTGGAAACTGTGAAGCCTTCAGAGGACTGCAGTTCTGATAATCCTCCATGTTAGACTTGGGTGGAAAGAAAAGTTTATGCCTGTTTTGTGCAGCAGTTGAGGTCTGTGTGAAAATATCTGGCAAATGCAGGTGGTCAGAACACACCTTCCATGGAGTCATATCAAAATCCTCCCAATTATTGAAGATAGTTAGTGGGGTTAGGTTAATTGGTGAATCTAAATTGCACAGTACATAAGTGTGTTAGACTGGTGTAGCCTGCCTCTCACCCTATCGTAGCTGGGATAGGCTCCAACCTCACGCAGCCCTGAATTGGATAAGTGGAAGAAAATGAATGGATGATGTATTTATTGTCAGTGCCATAAATTAATTTGTCGCTGTCGTTAATGTGTTGAAACCTCAGCAGGAAATCACAGAGGCATAGCTGATGAAGAGAGGTTGTTGTGAGTGGAGTGAGATGTTTTACACAAACATAAAGCCTTGTAATAAATGTGCGTGTCTCCAGGTGCGCTCCATCAGCCTGAATGTGAGGAAGAACGTCTCCCTGAACACGCTGAGTCAGGACGTCCTGCTCAAAGAGTTCTCCACCATCTCCTGAGAAACACCCACACTCCCTTCAACACGGATGTGTAAATATAGTTTAACACATGCAACAGAAACGATAACAATCCTGGATGGTTCTTTCCATAAATCATTTCTCATCTTCAGTGTCCTGTGAACTGGATCGGGGGATCCTGCAGAGACACTTAAAGGCTGGATGCACCTTAAGGACAGGCCTGAAAACTCTCCAGACTTTGCTCCTTGTGCTTGTTCATGTTCGTGCTGATTTGAAGAAGTGCCCATATTGCACTGGTCCCTCATGTGCAATCAGCAGTATTGGCTGGACTGTTAACTGACACTTAAAAGTTTTGATTATGGTAGTAAAACAAAGTATTTCAGTCCTCTGGTGTCTAATCACATTTTCTGAATCGTCTGTTTAGCAGTTTGTCCTTCACGACATTAGTGATGGTGATGCTGAGCCGTTTTGACTTTGGTGAATCTTACTGTACTCTTGAATTAGAGCATTAGCCTTTTCTTTTCCGATCAGTGCTCGTTGCACGAGTATTAAATTCATTCTCTACATGTTCAAGATTCAATTTGAGTATTTTTATGTACTTACTTGCTGAGGGGATAGAGCAAGCTGAGGATGCTTTGAAGTGACGGAAAGCTTTTTATTTTTGTTTTTGATGAGAGCCAATACTAACACTCACTACTGTTACTCACGTCTCCATTATTTTAACAAATGACCTGAATGTGTTTGACGTGAGCTGCTATCATTTAGAAGAAAAACTGTTTATTAATGAAACAAAATGAGCTGTAATGTCATCATGGCTGTTGTGTCTCTGGCACACACAAGGTCTTTAGTGAGAATAGACTCATGCGTATGCGCTCTTGAACTCACTTTTCTTCTTTCAGAACAGTTGAACTTATATTTTTGAAAGTTGATCTGAATTATGCAATTTCTTTACCTGAAGGGTCTTCTTTCTTTCCTTCACCTCTAACCTCTGTTGGTATATTTATGTTTCTTTTATAAATAAAGATTGGTTTCCTACTATATCAGTGATTCATCTTGACTGTTTTCACACATCGTTGAGGATCTGTGACGTTGGTCGCATTGCCGAAGTGCCACAATCTACGAATATGATCTGTTTTTATAAATGTTTTTGTCTTGGCTCGTGTCTTTACTCAATGTTCACTGTCGAGCACGTATGAACTGTGAGTTCTTAATTAAAGGGACATGTTCTCACTTCATGTCACTGCTGACTTACAGTGAATTAAGTTATTTTGACTTTTATCTGATTAAAGCTCTTCTAAGACCTGACTATACAGACACTGTGCTTAATAAACATCTCTGTTAGCTTTGTGCATCTATCAGAAAGGAAATGTGACCATTTTTGAGTGTTTTTAGTTAGTTTAATAACTGATGAAAGAAACATTGAATTGTAGGGGACAGAATTCATGTCACCTGCAAGAAATATGAAATGTGAATGATTAAAAAAAAAAGAAACCAGGAAAAATTAATGGTTCTTTCAGAGTATTTGATATATTTACTGCACTCTGCTGGGACAAACTAGCAGTGTATGAATTTATGTAGAAGGTATGACATCATCTTTATACACACATTTTTCAAAATAAAAAATAATAATAAAAATCCCCGTAAATCCAGCTTAGAGGATTGTGAGATACTTTATGAAATGAGAACAGCAGCTGCAATAAATATATCAGACTGAATGCAACGATCCTGATGTATGATTGTAGTTGCAACATGATAATCAGTCAGAGAGATGCAATGTGATTCTGGGTCTCACATGTACCAGGCCTGTTATTCTAAACTGTGGGAACAAGTCTGTGAAAATGAGACACACACCTGATTATATAATGAGAATGTAAAATGTGTTTTGTTGCAACAGCAGAGATGTGGAAGTAGTTCATTAAAAACAAAAAATCAATAGTCTGCTGCTGAATAAACGTATTATCAGGTCATAGTTGGTGAGAAAGTGGAAACTTTCCTGCTCCAGTCTCGCTGTTCCGCCTTTTACCCTTCTCGCCCCTTCATGTTGTGAAACTAATTAGCCAGTATCTCTGATAAACTTTGTCCTCCAGCTACTTCCTAATGATGTCTGCACCCTGAGGCTCGCACAAACAACACCAGCTAAGTCTTTTGTTTCTCAAAGTAACCTAAATCTTTGGATGGAGAAAAAAAATGCAAGCAGAGGTCAGAGAGGAGGATGGTAGAAATTGTGATAAAGGGAATAAACTGATGCTGAGAAGGTGCAGGAAATAATCTGGATGCACAGTGAGGGCAGAAGTCTGACTTTATTGAAGGGATATTTGGCAGCTGGCTTGCAGAAGTCCAGATGAATCAATAAAGGTAGTGCTTGACTTGCTTTCTTAAAATGTCTCTCCCCTGCTGCTGGAAGTTAGTTTCACACCAGGCAAGAAACAGACATGATCCTTCTGTCAGGAGATTCCTGATTGTTTTCCTTTTTCCTTCATCATCATCCAACTCATAGCATAAGAAGTCTGTGAATACATCTTGAGGGCTTGTATTACTTATTATTGTGTTTGACTGCTTCTGGTAGCTCAGATGACGCCATTGTGGGAAAAGGGTTCCTGTCAACTGTGTTAATTAATCACAAATTTATTTAGGCACACGGACTGTGAGCCTTTTTTCTGCAGGACTCCTTTAAAACAAAAGATGTAATCAATCTGATACCAAGCTAACTCCGAGTTAATACGCAGCCTCTGGCTCTGCTGTTTGGTTTGACTTGTATGGCATTAAAGCTGCTTGCTGGTTGTCTTTGCTCCTAAATCAGATGTGACTTGTTTACTGAATTCACACACAGTGCACACAAAAGTTTGCTTCAGTGTACACAGCATACATAACACATAGGCAAATTATAGCTACTCTGGACCATCTTAATGCAGCCCACAAAGTCCCTAGTGGAATTACTTACAGTGACTCTGCACTTGTGTTCGATCTTAATTACAATGCAATGTGTTTCATCAGTGACTTGTGCAGCGGTGCACATCAGAGAACTAGTAAGCTGTAGTGATATTGTCCTCATAACCTGCAATCAGCTTTTAGGTAAACTCTGTGGCATTAGCATGCTGTATCTGAGTAATGATGGCACTGTGGAAACAGGAAATGTTGCTCGCCCCTGTTATTCATGTTGAGCATTTTCAGGTTTGTTTGTGTTTAGGGCCGGTTAGAATAGAAAGGAAAGTGACTGTTGCCTCAAAACGCATAAATATTGCATCACATTTGGGCCTAAAATTGAAAACTATTGAGTTGATTTGTATGAGTGGAAGTTAAAATAGAAAGAAGCACTTACCATTAATAATTAACACAAAGCAGTTAAAGAGTCACAGCTACCTTTAAGGAGACGATGGTGACCCCAGCACCCCACTGTTGTTGTGCAACTAGCAGAGATTTGGCAGGTGATTTTATTTTGTATGATCACCTGATCGATGATTGCTGTGATATTTAAAAATATCAGTGAAGGTATGATGAAAGTGTAAATAATCACCATTTATGCACACTTTGTTACAGTTATAGTTGCAATCTCTCACAAACTTGTTATAGATCAATTTGACTGATGTCATTAATGCTGTAATTTAAAAAATGAATCCAGTTGATAGCACTGTCGCCTCACAGCAAGAAAGAAAGGTACGCTCTTGGACTGAGACCTCCTGGCTGGAGATCATCTGACTACAGTCATTGTTACTGAACTCAAATGTTTGCCATGTTATTTTATCCTGCAAGATGCATCAAGCAGGAGGTGGGTACACTGGTTTTTAAACAATGCTCAGTTGGTACTTAAGGGGTCCAGAGTCACCCAAGAGAATTTTCTCCACACCATTATACCAGCAGCAGCCTGATCCACTTTTACAAGGCAGGATGGATCCATGGATTCACTCTGACCCTACCTTCCAAATGTTATAGCACAAGTCGAGACTCGAAGCTCGGGGCAGTCCATTCTCCCAGAGAACAACCACACGCTAGATTTTTTCCTCTTTTGCAGCCCTTTCGCTATAAACCTAGAGATGATTGTGTGGGAAAATCACAGGAGATCTGCAGTTTCTGAAATACTCAAACCAATTTGAAGTGGTGTGTCTAATGTAGTGGCCTGTGAGTGTATATTATATGGTCAGTTTCATCTTCACATTCAGTAAAAATCACATCAAACACAATCTTATCCTTTACCTTGAAATTCAGAAAAAATACGCTATATATTAATGTAATAAAAGTTAGAAAACTCAAAATATTAACTTTCTATTTTGTTTTTTGTTTGTTTAATGAGTAAAGGAACCATTACAGTGGCATTTGCTTTGTCTACAGTCCAATGGTAAGTTAACTGTGAGGTTTATACCTAACATTATCACAATTTCCAGTTTGGGACAAGTTGTTGCATGACACAAGGAAGGCTGTGACACGTTCTAGTATAAAGAAGCACAAAAGCACTGCTACCAAACCAAACACATTTCTTTTTTTGTAATATTTTGAAGAAAGACAGATAATTAGAAATTCCAAAAGAAGACAGCGGTGGTACACCACCTCCTGCTTCTCTGTCCTTTCTCAAACAACTGCTTAAAACCTTTAGGTGTCTGAGATGCAACAGCTGGGCCTTTGATACTTGCACTTACAAGTCATAGTAATCCTTAGGGAACTGTAAGGAGTAGGAATGCAGTAGTCAGATGTTTATTGTCAGCTAAAATAACACAAGTTAAAATACAATTAATTTCTTTTTAGAAACATAAATTATTTTTAAAAAAAAACCCATGACCATTCCTTTTCTTTCTTCTTTACTAGATATCAGTCATTTTTTAACAGTAAAAGCAAAAAAAGTCTTTTTTTGTAGCTGCAGGTGGCTACCTGTCACTCCCATCAACACAACAGCTATTGAAACAACTTTGCTCTTTTCACATTCGCTTTTTCGTTTTTCTGCCTTTCTCATAAGTAAGTAAAATTTATTTATATAGCACATTTCACAGAAAAAAAATCACAAAGTGCTTTACAATAAGATCAGACATACAAGTTAAAATTAATTAAAAGCCCGTTTATATAAAAATGTCTTCAGCTGCTGCTCATACACCTAATTAAAGCTGTGAGCAAGAAAAAACACAATGACAAGCCTCTTATGGACACGTATTATGTTAGTACAACCTGTTCCTGAGATAATGATGTGGTTTTGTATATACTGGGGATACTCACAGTATTTGCTCCTGTGAGTGCTATGGAAAGAGTGACATAATATTTAACCAGCTATACTACAGTCCCCTGATATTAATCTACATGAAACCCCCTGATACATTTGTCAGCATTATATACTGGGCACTATATTAACTCCCTGATATAATCTCTACAGAGTGTGTTCGTGTCTGCAGTGACGATGGCTTAGACGGTCGGATTGATCCAAGCCCGGGTATTTTACTGTGACAACCCATTAACACTGCAGCGTATTTATAATGTTTCATTTAGGCATATCGCCCTTCTCATCAAATATTCATCTGAGGGGAGATTGCCTACTTTGTCTTGGCTGAACTCCCCCCTCCCTCTGTCAACCCTATTTCTTTATTTGTGTGTTCTTGTATCTGCAGAAAACACAAGATCAACTCAGACTGAGTTGTGGAGATACATGTGAGCAGGCGCACAACTCCTTACGTCATGCGGCACCACTTTTTTGTCCTTTTCTCTGGAAGCTTGTACTTGTTGCCGGATTGTCCTGCATACTTTTACTGTATCTGCATGCATGTGTGTGTGTGTGTGTGTGTTGCTTGCCACCTGCACTGTACATAACTCCAGGCATCAATCAGAGCTCATTATTGGTTATCTGTCGGCTCCACTTTCCAGCCTGCAGAGGTGCTAAATGTCTCTGTAAACCCCTGTGGGAGATAAACACCATCAATACTGCGAGATTTAACAGTCCCCAGGCGCATAATATATTCAAATACCTCTCCACTGTGTTACCTCCGTCTTCTCCTATTTCTCTTTCATGTCTGTGTTCCTTCTGTTGCTTCAGCGTCCTCTTCAGATGCGCCACCATCCCTCTGTTTGATATTTTTTGCTTCACCAGACCTCTCTTTGTGTCCTACCTTTGCCTTGCGCTTTCCTCTTTTTGCAGCAGCTGATAGATATTTTCTCCCCTCCCCATCAGTCTTCTGACTGGGGACACAATAATCCCTCTCTCGCTGGCTGGTCTTTAAAGAAGCTCTACTACACCATTTATCCCCAACAAGGATTATTTCAGCTTTTCCTGGAAAAGGTATTCTCACTTACATCACTCTCTGTATGAGAGAATTCAAAGGCAAAAGTCCATTTGCTAATCATGAAAAGTGCTGCTTTTCATGTGGAAACGACTATAAAGCTGTAAAGCTCCCATTCTAGTTTTATTATGAGCCCAAAAACTTCGAGTTATGTGGCACCGGGTCTTGAGTATTTCTTATTTTTAGCCTGAAGAAGAGAAAAATCTGAAAACAAGAAATTTGCAAAAAAAAAAAAAAAAGTCCTTGGATGTTACTATTATCAGGTAAAGAGTTTCCGTTTGTCCAATATTCTGGTTTACTTTGGTTCTGTTTAGTGCAAGTTCTTCTACGCTGGTGAGATGGGAACCATAAAAATATTATACCCGCTGAAAATCAGTACATTTGTCTACATGTTTTGAGTCTAATATTTTTTGGTAAACCTCAAAATTCAAATTTGCCATGTGGGTAACAGAGAAAAGTTTGGTTTGAGAAACACTAGTTGCTGCATGTAATTCCAGTTGTATGTGCATATTGCTCAAATAGGCTTCAGTACTGTTTATATAGGTGGCCAGAGGTCCATCCACCTCTTTGTTCCACCTCTGATATTCAGCTCAAAGCACAGCTGTAAAAGCTACACCCTCACAGAGATGCAACTTTATGAAAGAGTGCCTCTACAGTCTACAAAAAGCAGCTATAGCATGGTGTCTCCATGGTGCGCATTCATGGAGATAATATTCAAATATTTTTTCTACCTTGAAAAAATACGAGTGAGTCATTCTTTTACTCTGCTGAGCCAACCCAAGGACGTGAAGCTGACAGGATATTGATCCGCAAGTATTAGGATGCCGAGCGGCTCAAGTCCAAGGTGAGACCATCCATCAGAGAGCCAGGCATAGATTAGTAGGTACACACTCCCACATCCCTCTGCTGTGCCACTCCCTCTTTTGCTTCATCACTCCTCCCAGCTTTGATGGTTTACCTCTCTCTCTCTCTGTTCGCGTCTTTGCAAGGACACCTGTACACGCTCCAGCTGGCAGGCGGACTTTGGATGTTTGGCAGAAAATTAAAGTCAGCAGTACATTTGAACCTCAGATCCACTGAAGTCCTTCAAACTGTGGACGCTGCGCTGTTGATAAGCGCGAAGAAGAGATAGTTGTAGTTGGGAGTGCAGGGAGCAGACAGACGAGCTTTGCGCGGACTTTTGCGTCTCCGTCGTTCATTTATTTGCAGCCCACACTGACTGATGCTCATAGAAAAGTGACATGCAATCGGGAGTGAATGCGCTGAAGTCGTAGATAAACTGCGGCTCGCACAGATCCTGCAGGTTCAGCTTGGTGATCCGAAAAGAACTGAGAGGGAGGGAAGCATGAAATCCACGAGTCAGGATCAGAGTTTGTCAGACTCCAGAGAGCTGGACAGATCTTACGACCCACTCACAGGTAGGCGTGTCGTCATGTCACTCTTGCCTTTCTTTGTTTTAATAGTATTTTTTAATGATTTGGCGCTGGCCTGGCTCAAATCTCCACTAAGAAGTCAAAGGAGCTTGCAAAGAAAAGCGTCTGGACTTCTTTAAGTTGCTTGAAGACGTTTCACCTCTCATCCGAGAAGCTTCTTCAGTTCTGACCTTAGAACTGAAGAAGCTTCTCTTTGCAAGCTCCTTTGACTACGATGACCTGGATGACTGAGAACCTTCACAGACATATCTCCACTAAGAAGTGCGCCTTCACTGCGGCGATGAAAGTTTTGGTTTGACGGAAGACTTCGGCTCATTGATATTCGACTGTGGGACTTTTAACAAACCACAATCAAACAATTAGTGAGTGTCTGTGCACGTGAACTCCCTGCTCTACAGCTCCCCCAAACAGCAGCATGATCTGATTAATTATTCAGAGTCTGATCTCACAGGTATTTTCCTTTGAAATGAACTTTACACCATCTCCCCACTTTTTGATAATAAGAATGTGAACTAATAGATCTAAAAATGTCAGGTCGCCATCATATGTTGATTATTTTTTAGTTGGAACTATAATACTACTACTACTACTACTAATAATAATAATAATAAGATAAATAATGTTCCATATGAATGGCTCAGCAAGAAGAAAATGTGTTACAATGTAAATAATAAATGGAGTTAACGTAAAGAAGTTAGTGTTTGATTTACAACTAATTGACTGTATGTGAAATAAAAGATGGGTAAATAATAGCAATAGTGGTATTATTTGAGCCATTAGCTATAAATTTAACTGAAAGCAGTCCCCTCTGTGGCCCTGTGCTACTGATCAATTAATAATTTAACTAATGGACAGAAAATTAATCAGAAATTATTATTAATCACTGTAGAAATTTGGCAACAGCCACACGCCTATCTTTAGGTTTTCAGCTGTGTTTCTTTTCTTCTTGTTTTCAGTTTTCTAAACAAGCAGCAGTCAGAAGACATCACCATCATGCCGGTCTGCTTTTATCTGGGCACTTTCCCCACCTTACTATTAAATAATTGACATAATGGTTCAATGACTTTGTTCCTCAAACATCAGTGCCATTAATTGGTTACAGCATAGCAACACGATTCTTCTCAGACTAGCTGAAGGAGTGAAAAATGAACAAACACATTAATTTGAAAAGAAAAAAGAAAACAAAGATTTGTTTATATGAACAAAGTAATGCTAATGAGTAGTTAGGATGATAAAAATCTCAATGTGGATTTACTGTAGTTTAGATAATCACACTGGTCGTAGGCCTTGAAGCTGAAAAGCAAGAGAACAGAAAAATATTGCAAAACAGGCTCTCGTCACCTAAAATTACATCTAGCAGTGTGAGTGTTCGTAGCCTAATTAGATCAGTGAGGCTCTTCTCTCTTTCAGACATTTCACTGGTTTATTTTTCTCACGAGTGCTTGCAAACACAATCCTCTTTAGAGATCACACGCGCAGGTCTCTCTTTGCTTTGGCAGGCTGGCCTGTCATTTTTCTGACAGCTTCCCTAAATAGTCCTTTCCTTTAAAAATAACCACATAAATGTGTAAAAATAACCCCTTTAATATGGTGCACATAGCAGCACCATTTAGTTTTTTATATGATGTTTCTAAAGTACTGTATGAGATAGATGTTATACAGATGACAGTTTATTTCATAGCTGATAGTTGCTGTCTCAATAGCAGGTGTGATATGCACTCAGCAGAAGGTTAAACAAACAGAGAACAGGTGCATGAGGTTTTAAGAGGTGTTTAGAAGACACAAACAAAGTGTTTTATTAAACAGTGAAGCAGAGCCCGAAGCCTCTTCCTTTCATCTCCATGGTTTTTGTCTAACAGCAACATATGCTTATGGAAAATTATATTAAAGTGTATTTGAAATATTCATCAGATAAAATTCACACTGAACACTACATGGTCTTTATGTCCAACCGTTCTTCTGTAAAGCTGCTGAAATCCTCATGTTGTTTACTTCTTGGTTCATGCATTATAGATACACATTCCTTTGTGCACTACACTTATTACAATAGTACAGGCTGCCTGCTTCTGTGGGACAGTTAAACCATGATGTCACAGAAAAACACCGTTAAAAAGGCATTGGTTGATGGTTTGGGAAATCTGCTTAGATTGCATATGAAATTCTTGGAAGCAGCTTGCTATGATGGGCTTGAGACTTGTCCTCTGTGCACCCGATCTCTCATCCAAAGTCAGCTGAAATAGGCTCCAGTGCCCCCATGACCCTGGATTGAATAAGCTGTTAAGAAAATGGATGGATTTATCAGAATTCAGTTCAAAAAGTGGACCCAAATGCAGACCAGTAATGAAACAAAAGATGAGCTTTATTCAAAGGCTCAAACACAGACACCACAAACCTGGAAAAACCATGAGAAGGCAAAAAGGCGGCACGAATCACAATTCCACAAAAGCTGCTAGAAAGACTGGGATATTCATACAAACTCATCCCATACAGAAGGAAACCAAAGGTTCAAAATATGACCAAGAATCAGGATCACTGTGGAATTTAAAGAAATCAAGGCAGAAATCATGCACTACATAAATACCAAACAGTAACTGGAACTAAAATACAAAGCTAATCCTAAAGATTGTAATAAATATAGAATAGAAGGAACACAAGGAACTAAACTCACCTAGAAGATCATGAAATAAAGAGAACTCGAGACTTTACTAGATTAGAAACAAATCCACTCTGTGACTGATTGATGGATGGATGGACTTGGTACCTCAACATAAAAACTGTAAACATTTAGCCCTTTGTCCAAAGTTAAGATAATCAGTGTTAAAGCTCACTGATGAACACATAATGTGCTTAATTAATACATTCAAACCCAAAAGGCCAGGAGCAGTTTTCACAACTTTCTACATGTTTATTAATTAAATTCGTAGGTTTTGGTAGGAAGATGTCATGTTTCAATCTTAACCTTAGTCATAATTTGGGACTAATATTTTCGTGAGTGTTGTAATTATAGACTGGCTATAAAGATGTACCGAAATATGAAACATTCATAGTATGTCCACCATGTAATCATATCCAATTTTATAGCCTCAAAGAACTAATTTTAATAAACTCCTCAGCCTACACTATCATGATAAAAATATCTGAAATGACAGAAATAAACCTTGGGAAACATTTGTCTGAGCTGCACTTTAATGTTTTAGTTTTACCCACATCCCATCCACTAACATGGAGCTGATGGGGTTTCTGACCTACACTTTAGTCAGCCACCAAGGAGTGATTGAAAGGTTTATCTTCACTAAAAGATGAAAACAGCTTCTTGGTCTGAAAAGTATAGGCATTATAAAAGGGCCCCGAACCTGCATTATTTGGCCAGAAGCGGCTGAGTCCTTTGGTTGAACACTGATGTTTTCTTATATAAAAGTTTATGGGAAAATTACCCTTTGGTTCCCTTATACTGTGACCTCCGTGACTGTTTTACTGATGGGTTTATGGATTCAGTCACCAGCTTCAGTCTTATTGAATACAGCATAATATTTATTTTTAAAATTATGATCCTCACTACAAAACACAAAAGCGGAAAAAGGCTGTTTATGTCTTTTATATACAGCTTATGGTCGCATCAGTTTCAGACATTTTTTATACAATACTCAAGGATCAAAATATCACCTGAAGCCATCTATAATATACAACACTTACACATTTCATTTCAAAATAAAAGCCTGTCATGAGATAAAACTATTGATATGATCACTGCAGAGCTCATGCTGTCAGCCCCGAGTGAGCAAACTTAAGTATGTTTGCGTGTGTCAGTGCTTTTTCATGAAATGGACATCTATAATCTGAACTGCGTCCTTCTGGGGGATTATTGTAAGTATAGGAGCTGTTGCCCCTGGCAACATTAGCTTACAAATGTTCATTTAGTGCATAGGCTGTCATGGCCTCCTAAAGTCAGCATGAAATGCTTACAGTTAAATGACACACAGTTGTTGGTTTAACTCACCTTTTGCCAATTATTATTATTTTTACTTTAGAGATTAATTAAGCTTTTATAATGAACTGTAAAAGATTTTTAAGAATCGTTGAAAGATATACTGATGCTTATGTCACAGGTTGTGTATTGTCTCTCAGGGTTTGTCCTTTCCCCCCCCATGAAATAATAATAGAAAATACATTTATTATAAGTAAAATAATCAGAATCTCCTTTTGAAGATTTAAGTCTTTCACTTCATGATTAAATTGAACTCCAAAGTCAATATTTTCAACCACTTCAATGTTTTTTGTCATCTCCCTGATCCAGCTCATCAAAAGCCTAATCGTCAGGCCCATCAAAAGCTTTAAAATCTGCTCAAGGTTTCTGAGAAAGTTATTGACCTTTTATGAGTAAAACTTGCCAAGAAATATCTTCAGCTTGGCCTTCAGAAACTTTTAATTTCGTTCTTTCAGTGAATCTTACTTTCCCTCCTGTGTGCTTTTTGAAACAGTGGATGAAAGAGGCTTTAAATAGTTACAATGATGGCTCAAAGAGGCTGTAAATGTAGTTATACCAAAGGGTGAAAGAGGCTGTAAAGATAGTTATAACGATGGGAAAGCGAACATTGATCTACCCCAGAGGACTGCATTTATTCAAATTGATTTACGCGATCAAAGTCACCCATGAGGGTCTCTTGAACTGACAAATAGCTGCTGGGTACTGTGAAATGTCAACATCGGCTGAAATAGCTGTTCAGTTTTGTTCATCCATAACTCCAGCTACCCCCTGCAGATATATGGTGCTCATTTGCAACACGTATGGGACAGGTAAACAGTTGCTTAATAATTAATCAGGTATGCTTTGTTGCTTTTGCTCATCTTCCAACTGTGTGAACGAATCAAATCATGACACAATGTCCCGCTAATGTTTATGAACCTGTGAACTCACAAAAGCAGCATAAAGCGTGCTTCAGCTCATTTAGTAGCTGTTTTTTTATGCAAGAACAACCTCCAGTGTT